TTAACCGGCTTTGCATTAGTTCCTATGGGAACTAATGCTTCGACTGAAGAACGGTGCCTCTAGATAAGAACAAAAAACAGCTGGGACAGATTAAATGGTTTCAATGCATTCCTATGGGAAATTTTGCTTCTACTTATGAACATTTCAACTAACGAACATCTTCTGGGACGGATCAAGTTCGTAAGTAGAGGTCCCACTGTATTTCCAACCAGGAATGGGTAGAGTGAGTTTCTCTAGATACAACAGGCCTGGAAATCCTATTCAAAGTAGTCAGCGTAGCTAGCGTGAGGGAATAGCAACCCAAGAACATCAAGAAAGTTGCACTTTGCCTAACCCTGGTTTGCATCAAACAGAGCTTCATTTCTGTAGTCAATACCAAAAGCACCTGTAAATATTTGAAATAAAGATTAAAGACACTTACTGCTTTGAAAAAAAAATCTCAGCTCTCTGCAGGAAGTACATTGAACAAACATCACGTCCAGTTCAAACTAGAGAACTAGGAGACCCTTTGACTCCTGATTATAATATCTTATATTTTTTTAAAAAAAACTCATGATTTTATGATGTCTAAAAGATTAAAATCCACATCCTGTCTCTACTTCAAAGTGGAGAACTAAGGAGATGTTATAAGAACAACCTGTTCTTCTCTCTCTTTTTTCCCCTTCTTTTTTCTGAAGAATGAAAAGTTTAATGTGGTGACAAATGATTGAGTGCAGGGCTGCGCTAGGGAGCAGCTTGCCTTAAGGTCAGGTGGGGTTTAGAGAAGAAATTCCTTTATGACAAATGAAAAGAATTTCTGAATGATGAATGTAAAATGCACTGAAGTTTAACTGTATGGATTATATGGGGGTGAAGGATTAGAAAGTTTTCTTAGCAAGTTTAGGCTTTGATTTTATTAAATGCTTTTTAGATAACTGTTTTGATCATGCATGCTGGAAGCACTTCTAGGAGTAGAAGTGTGGACCTGGTTGAGTAACTGTCATATTTATACTGTCTAAATACTCCCACATATTTATTGAAAGCAGCTTGCCCAAGGACAGACAGGCCAGCTTTCCTCTTAGGAGACACAGCAAGAAATCAAACTCCTAACCCCTTGTTCCGCAGCCATGTACCTAACCCACTGAGCTGTTCATCTTTCCACATACATACAACATAATATCTGAGCCACAAGTTTATACACAGCATACGTACATGTCATGAGAACCTAGTGGAATGGGAAACGGAAGACACCAATTATATATTAAATGATGAGCTTTCAAGGTATTAATGGCAGGTAATGACCATTTGAAGTGTTGATTTCACAAACATCCTGGCAATTGTAACAATAGGTAGAAGGCAATAATTTGATTTTAGGAAGTAGTTCACTGAGCTGAGATGGGTTTTGCGGTGTGGATGGGAGTGGGACCAAGTGCAATGAGAGAGAGAGAGAAGCTGGAAACTGCATATTAATATCTGATAATCGACTTCCAAGACAACACTGGCATAATTAAACCACTCCACACAGAAACTGTTCATTATATTAACATACTAGCAATCCTAGCAATGTAGCTGCAATTTACAGTCTTCTGGAGTCAAGTTCACAGGAAGTAGTTTGGACTGAGTTTGGAGTTCCATTAAAAAAGAAAACCTGTTTGGTTACAACCAAGACTGTAGAGAAAACCAGCTTCTTAATGTAAAAAGTGTGCTAAAATCCCGACATTCATTCTCCAAATGCACATAGGACTTCATGAATGCAACCCACTTCAGCTGTCTCTGTCTTGAATCTGTCTTTGTAATTTCTTTTCTCTGCAACAGCTATGTGAGATCAGTAACAGAGAGCTCTAACAGGTTAAATGTTTTAACACTGACTTCCCTGTATTACGGTTTTTGATGCCAGATTTGTGTCTTTTTAATGTCCTGTGCAGGGATTGTTCTGTGTACCTTATTTAGAATGTCAAGGCGCCCTTTGGACAGATGATGGCATGTAATCACATCAGAAGAAGGACAAGCAAATGAGCCCCTGATTCTGTGGGTGACATTGTTGGGACCTGTAATGGTTATTCCAGAATAGGTGTGGGGATCCAGTAGGTGTCTAGTTTTGAAACAGAGGTGCCTCTCTCTGTCCCTAGACCCATGCTATCTTGCTTTTAAAATATCTATAGCTGTTTAAGCTGGGCGGGGGTTCTGCAAGCAAGCACAGGCCTGCTTCCTAAAGGCTGGGCAAGAGAAATATGATTGTCCTGAATGGGCTGTATCTTATGGATGATATGTATGAGTGGTCTCAGCTGGGAGCTATATGTGACAACCGATATGATCAGTACTACTGACATAAGATTATAGAATTGTGAATCTGCATTCAGGGATTCTGTGCTTGTATTAATCTGGAGTTTTTTGGGGAGCCATCTGCCTGAAGAACACAGAAGACCCACTGTACGAAGAGCCAATTAAATATATTTTAAATCACAGTTGGGCAATACATGGCAATAGGCCATATGTGGTCACCCAAGACAGCTTTGTTACCCCCCACCTCACCTCCCCAACATGCATTTGCTGACTATCATCAGAGGACTGTACTGTCAACAATCAATGCTGGCAATTCGCCCATCAAAGGTCTCCTCTTGTCTTCTGGTGTAGAAGGAGTCACTCTACCCTGCAGGACTCTATGATCAGGACTCTATGATGCAGGAGAATTCTATGGCACCCCAAAAATCCTTTCATTGTTGCCATGTTTTGGCAACAATCATGCTAGCATAGAAACCAAAGCAGTCTCTTTTAGGGGGTCCAGTGCACCCTGCTGTTCCTAGAAGTTGTCCTTCACTGTTTTAAAAGAGTAAATAACAAATAAATCATCAATTTTTTTGTCTTGAATGTTGAACTCAGATTCAGTGCGGAGACATATGCAGCAGTATCTCTACAGCTTCAAACTGTTTAGCAGTTGCTTCAAGCGATTATGTTCTTCTCCCCAGGAAGCTACAGCTTTTTTTTCACCACAGAACAGTGTGCTACCTGGTTTCCATTTCAAGTGGCCAGCACACCCCCTGCGCATTTGTACATATAAGGCCTCAGGCCAGTGGATTTAAATTCAACCTTTAATGAAAATTAGGCAGGAGTGGGCTTGGAGAAAGCTGCTTCTTATCTTCATTTCCACTCCTTATGTGATTGCCTGCTTCACAAAGTTGCTGTAAAGACGAAAGACCTGAAGATATAAAGTCAGGCATGAAAAATTGCCACAGATGGGCTGGAGTATATAATACCTGGCAGAGTTACTTGTTTGTATTTCAACTCCTGGCATCCAAACTAATAAATATTAACACAAAGTTACAGAGTCTAAACTAATTATTGATCATTTAATAGGTTGAGAAGAGACAAAAGGAGGCCCATTCCATTCTTATAAAAATGGTTTACAGTATTCTAATATACTACCACCTCTGTTTTTGCATTCAAGCTGCCACTAATAGCTAACTCTGGCGTACTTTTTAAAAATAGAATAGTTGGTCACTGAAAACAGAAATCAGCACCAATATACAGCAACAACTACTGTGTGCATAAGTGTATGACTTAACTGCCTCTCCTGCATTTTACAGAGCTCTGTTTTATCATATTGCAGCAGTTTGCCAACAACACTTAACGTCAATTGCATTAGAACAGTGGGCACAACTAATTAGCTATCCCCCGCCAAATTCAAAGTGCTGTCTCACAATACCAGCCCAAGACCTTTTGCTGCCTGAGCAAGATGGCACTCTGGCCCTGGCCCATATACAGAAACTAATTGGGCTGACAACTAGAATTGACTGCAGCACTGCCAATGGTATATCAAGTTTCACCACACCTGAAGTAGCAGGCTAGTTTAAGAAACTGAGAAACTGTGTGGCATACACATGATTTTGTCTTCCAGCAGAAGGGAATCGCTGGAGAATTTATGCGAAAGCTGATGTTGCTGTCCTTTCCATCTGCTGCCTGAGACAGCTGCCTCACTGATACAGTGGGCCCTGCTCCTAGCATCTAAGTAGAAATTTTAAAAGAGAAGGCATGAACAGGGGAGAACTGTGGCAGGATGATTCAAATAGACTCCCCAGGGTTATTTCTGATGCAAACAATTTGTATCACATCCTTGAGACTCAGAGTTACAGTATAAATAGAGCTTGACAAATGCTATTTTTCTGGATGACACCTTTCAGAATGTTTCCTATCTGGCATGGCCACCGGGTGTTGTAATCCAGAAAGGTGAAATTCTAAGCTCCAGTTATCAGTTAAAATAGACTCACCTCAAGGTAGCCAATAATGCAATATTTCTGAATGCCAGAGAGTCCACACGTTGAAGAAGCTGTCAGCTGTTCACTGCGGCCCACGAGGAGGTCTCCGATAGATGGATAGCAGGATTTATTGTCACAGCTATTCTGGCCCCACAGGAAATCTGTCACCAGTACTGTCCACACAACCAAAAGTGAAATGCTGCCTGATGTACCATATAGCATTTACACAACAATTACAGTAGTTAAAACTGAAGCTCACCAAGCCTGCACTCATTCTTATACTTATCACATCTTTCTTATAGTAATATGTCTAACACTTCTGCTAACACATCTCTTTCTGGCCAGCCTCTAGCAACCAAGGGACGTATGTGCCATTGGTGACAATTCACCTTGCACACCATACATTGTTAGGCTGTGGTAAATAACATACATATACGGCAAGTCCACTAGCAGCTGTTCTCCATGGCTTCGAAACTCCAACTTGAAAATGACAAGTAGGCCTAAATTTTGAAATATATTTCAAATAATTTGTTCTACTGTAAGTCCATTCCATTACATGGTGGAAGGCAATACTGTAGATTTTTTATATTTGCAGGTTAGTAATTTTAAAATAAGAAAATGGTAAGCTATGCATGCTTCAAGCAGAAACATTCAAAATATGGCAGAGGGAGTTTTTCTTTAAACAACTCTCTTCCCCACATGTTGCATGTACCACCCATCCTACTCTTTTACACCTCAAACTGTCACAATAAATATGTACACTCTCAGATCCAAGGGACTGTCTGTGTTTTCAGGCTACAGAGGCATTGTAACAATGCTCTGCACCTTAGATTTTCTACATAGCTGGGCCAGGATGTTTCCCTGCTTGAGGCAAAGGCCCGGATACTTCCTGTATTCCATGTACAGAATCAGGCAAGCCTGGTAACTGAATCTTACTTCATGTGGCCCCTCCCATCACAGCAAACTAGCTTACAGACTGCAAAGGAAGTGGTGTGGTGCTGATTCAGTCCTGACCTCCAGTGCATCACTGGCAATCAGTAGCTGCCTCAGCATGCCTAATGGTAGGGCCATCCAAGATAGGAGGGCGAAAGCCAAAAGAAGAGGGGAAACCAGGGCATCCTTTCCTCACCTTTTCCAAGTGGAAAACCAAAAATCTCAATGCACCACCTCCTTGAGTTGAAAACTCTGGCTTCCCTTTGCAGGAACAGGAAGGAACACCAGGGGCCTGCAGCCTAAGGGCACACTCTGACAGCTCCCAGTAAGAACCTGGAATGTCAGTTGTGTTTCTTAAAAAAGCTCTGCTAATTTAATTTGTTTATGAAAGCTTGAATTTTATTTGCTATTGTTCATATTACTTGGCAAGAATTTCAGTTCATTGCATTAATTTTTACATTAAGTGCTGTGTTAACCATTACTGTTAAACCCCAACCCCCATTTCCTGTTGCGTCATGCAAAACCTTAGGTCTATTCAGGTGTAATTATTTGTGCATATTCACTATGTGTAGATGAATGCACTGCAGCCCTGCCCCTGTTTTGTTAACTTTCCCCATACATGGAGGTCATCCAGTTGAAGGAGGAGAGTTTATTCTGAGTGTACTGCATTTGAATCAGGACCCTAATTTTCCATGGTTCTAACTCACATGCAGAGTCTTTGTGAGATCTCCTTCTACAGGCACATTGCCCCCACTGTGTATGACTACAAGGAAAATGACAGCATAGGAAAAGCATTAGTATACACCATAATATGATATCCACACAAAGCCCAACAGTTTCCTCGTAGGTAATCCTATTTCCACCCAACCAAGGTCAACGGAAACATCAGTTCAATGGAAGGAAAAACAACGAGTGTGCTCATGACAGAAAAAGAAAATCTGAAGATCAGGAACAGTCAAGTAACTGAACAGCAAAACAGTGAAGGCACAAACAGCTGTACAGAAGAGATTGCCAGGCACAAGCAACCAAATGGCAGATGCCCCAGGGAAAAGAAAAGCCATTCTAAGTCCTTAGCAGCAATTTGTTTAGTGGGCAAAAAAAAAAATCCTGTTTTCCATAGCTTGATGAGCACATGACTGGGGCACACTGGAATAAAAGAAGTAAATGGAGAAACTGTACCATCTGCCAGCCTGGGAAGAGGTCAGTGATAAGATGGCCATTTAAAGGGGCTACTGTTGAGGCAACTCCTGCAATAAATTTAGGCTCTGTGAAATCTCAAAAGCAAAGCCCTGCAAGATTTCAGGCTGTCCAAAGTGCCAGTTGGTCCTTCTCACGATCTCTGCAATGTCCTGTTCTCCAGGAAGATCATGGCTCCCAGATATAACCACGTTTTCCACACAATAGTGGGAGGTTGGAAGCACACTGAAAATTCGAATGTGATGACTATAGGTCAACCCATTGCCTGAAATGACTTCACACAGCCTTCTTCTACTACGTTAACTTTCTTTTCAAGGTTTTTGCCTGTTGAAACTTGTGTGCACCTGAAACACTGAGCAGACTTGGGGCCCTTGGAGGCTTCATGTGCTTAGCTTTTCCTGGCTCAACTTGTTACGGGAAAAACCCACATAACTTTTTAAAAAAAGTTTCTTTTGGTTATGAAGGGTTTTTTTTTACACAGTTTTAAAAAACCTGCCTCAAGCTTCTGAAAACATAACTGCTGAAGATGCAAAATGTCTATTTGCTATTCAGCATATGCTTCAAATGAACTTCAGGTAGTGAGCACAGCTTCCCCTTGCACATTTTATCCAAAAGCCACCTTTTCTCTGAGTAATTCTAAGATCACCCAACCACCTGGCTCATAACAGTCGCATGAATTTTCAGTGCAAAATGCTGCCCCTCCATCACAATCACTGAATTGAAGAACTGCAAGGTTGGAGGGAACTCCAAAGACCATCTAGTCCAGTGGTGGCGAACCTTTTTGGGCTCACATGCCCAAACTGGGGGGGGGACAGCGGGTGGCATGCCGTGGCAGCGGAACCGGAAGTGGCGGTGGCGGAACTGGAAATGGCAGCGGAAGGGGGAATCCCAGACATGGAGGTACCTTGAGGCCCCACTCCGGATCTGCCGCGAGCACCAGCCGG